AATGAAAAAAAAAAAATAGAAAAGTGAAGAAACGATGATCTAAAAGGAAAAAGAATATATTATTTTAATCAATACTTTTTTTAATTCAAGAATTTAGAATAAAAAATTGAAAGTAGCTTCTCATACACGTTAAAGAGCACAACACTCAAAAAATGGGATTGGAGAATCTCTCAATATAATATCAAAGAAAATAGGGTATGCATTTGCTACCTATTGAGTCGCACAGATCTGCCCCTGATGCTTAGGCATTTCATGATGAGAAAGAAAACAGTGTTCTCTCCATCGGAATCACCATCGAGATGCTATGATTAAAATACGACCGAAGTTCGATGTCGGAGAAGCGACAAAGATACCAGACCATGTAAAGGAAGGCCATTTCGCAGTGATCACAATCAATGATGGAAATCCAAGGAGAGTCATCATAGACCTATGCCATCTAAAGAATCCGACGTTTCTGAGGTTATTAGAGAAAGCTAAAGAAGAATATGAATGAATTGTCCGTCTATCTCAGTTGGTAGAGTGTAGGACTTTTAATCTTGAAGTCGTGAGATTGAGTCTCACTAAGGGCAATTCATGATAGAAGTTTTCTACGGAAATTATTTTTAACCTGGCGTTGGAGGCCAACCTACTATCTTACCTCCCTCTTATCTCATTATATATTGAAATAGGGTCAATTAATTTTTTTTAAAGAAGAATATGAATTCCCACAAATGGGACTCTAACTATCACTTTTCCAGCCGAAGAATGTATAAAAGCAGCATTATTCTATATTAAGGAAAATTTCTAAAAGTTTAGGAGGATTAAATTTATAATTTTTTTTAAAAAAATAGATTATCAATTAAAAATATATTAATATAAAATTTACAAACAATTCTGACATAGGTCAACTAAACCCGCATTTCATCAATTAAAAGTTATTATAAAACATATAATTCCAACTAAATTATATGAAATAACACTATGCAATAAAGTCAGTCCATTTTATTTTGTTATCCACCTAATATAACCCTTTTAGTAATATCAAAAAATGGGTATTTATCAAGTCAAGTTGAATCGATTCAAAAATTTTGAATTCATGAGTTTTATTTTATAACTCAAATTGTATTTGAAGTTTTTTCAAGTCGAATTTTTGAAATTTGAATCGAGCCAAGTTGTTAGAATTTCTATTTAAATTTAATTGTAAATATTTATTATGTTATGATACAGTTTGATTATAATTTAAATGATATTCTATAATTATATAAAATATACATATATATATATATATATATATTCATATTTTTTCCATACATCTCACGTAGAGTTGAATGACTTAACTCGAAATTGAAAATAAATCTATTAATTATTATAAATTTTGAGTTGTTCAAATTGTATATTATACCTCGACTCAAATTTAAATTTTTTTTAATCGAATCAAATTTATAAAATAATGAATCAAATCAAGTTGAATTGAAATTTTTAACGAAAAATTGAATTAGAAAGCTATATTTTTTTTTGTATCAAATTGAATTTTACGCGTACCTAAAAATAAATGGCAGCTTGAGTTTCTCATGTCTCTAGTTGTTCCCCATAATGATCTTAGTAGTAAAGGACAAATGCAAGTGATATTTTAACATAAAGTACTTTTTTTCTTTTTTAAAAAATAAACAATCCATTTTACTTTCTTCTAATACGTCATATCGGGAGATGTAGGATGCGAGAGAAGTTGTTCATGCCACCTGAATTTTGGGATCCTCTTTTGAAGACACCGGCGATCTCTACTTTGATGCAAATAAAACAGCGACCAGCAGACCGATTCCTTTATGAAAAAGAATCAGCGGAGCGAGGTACGAAAATTTACGTGGAAGACGCTTGGATACCGGATTTCGAAGATGCTGCAATTGGGGTTGTTGCAAGAGACCATCATAGCCTGGTTATCTGAGGAGTTGCTCGGAAACTTGGATGGCTGCTACATCCCATAATATGTTGAAGCTGAAGCTTTTATTCACGACATTAATTTTGCTACGGGGAATGGATGGGACGCGACAATCATTAAAGCTTAACGGGCGACCAAGAAGATATCTCTCTCGAAAGACGAATTAATATACGGTTAATATATGATGTTATTGGATACATTAAAAGATATTTAATAAATTCGGTTTAGCCTTATCGGAAATATCGAGTAATAATAATGTAATAGATGGAAATCATGAAGAAATATTAAAAAATTTGGCAACCAGCAAACTTAGCTTGTCGATTTTGGTCGATACTTTATAAAAATATATTGATCCATAACAATATAACAAATAAAAAAATGACAAAACCGGTCTATAAATGACAAAACATGTAAAGCGCTACCGGATATATTGAAAGTGTCGATACTTTATAAATTGTATCGATTCATAACAATATAACAGGTAAAAAAAATGACAAAACCGGTCTATAAATGACAAAACAGGTAAAGCGCTACCGGATATATTGAAAGTGTCGATATTTTATAAAAATGTATCGATCTATAACAATAAAACAGGTAAAAAAATGACAAAACTGATCTATAAATTACAAAACAGATAAAGCGCTATCGGATATGTTGATAGTGTCGATACTTTATTATAAGTATCGACACTTTTGGAATTTAAAAGAGAAGAAGTTATAGCGCTAATAAAGTGTCGATATTTTATAAAAATATATCGATCCATAACAATATAACAAGTAAAAATATGACAAAATCGGTCTCGAAATGACAAAACCAGTAAAGAGCTACCGGATATGTTGATAGTGTCGATACTTTATTATAAGTATCGACACTTTTGGAATTTAAAATAAAAGAAGTTATAGCGCCAATAAAATGTCGATACTTTATAAAAATGTATCGATCCATAACAATATAACATGTAAAAATATGACAAAATCGATCTAGAAATGACAAAACCGGTAGTAAAAAAGTGTGCTTGTGTGATCACTTTTATTTCAGAATTTTCATTTTTAATACAAAAAGTTATATATTTTAAGCAAAACCCAGTAAGAAAATAACAAAAACTTTGCAGTAACAAAAGAATAACATTGGGAAACTTATCATGTTATCAGTTTCTCAAAGAACAAAAACCCAGAAACAAACATCTCTCAACCCAAACTTATAATATACTCTTATTATCTCCATATGATAAAGTTATGCCAGTTTTAGTTTCTTAAAGAATAAACTTATGATTGAAGAACTTAAATTGGTGCACGTATAAGTGTCGATGCATTTATGAAAAGTATCGATTCAAAAAATATCTAAATCGATAATTATTATGTAACAGGTAAATTTATAATATAACCAGTAAAAATATATTGGTTAATTAGCAAATAAGTTTACATTATGTATCGACACTCTTTAAATATGTGTCGATATTTTTTCTCCAAAATTAAAGCACAACGAGGTGCACGCATAAAGTGTCGATACATTTAAAATTGTATCAATCCAAAAAAATATCAAAATCGATAATTATAATATAATAAGTAAATTTACAATGTTAACGGTTTAAATATATCTGTTTAGTTAGAAAATATGTCAATATAATAAAAGTGCTACCTAATATATTATTGTACTTGATAATATTTCCGGTTAAATGATATAATATAATCGATCTAAATTTTAATCGATCACTTATTTAATAGGTCACGCCATCTTTTAATCGTTTTTTAAGCGCCACACAATAAAATCACCCGGGACTTAAGGAAACTCGTGAAGCATTAAAGTAATACCCGAATCTTAAGAATTTTTTTATGTGAATAGAGCCTTTAATAGAGTCGCTTATTCCCTTGTCAAATGGGATATTTCTCGAATTAATCCCTATTAGTTTTGGTATGATGAACTAGATTATATACGGAACTTTTTTGTTCTTGATGATATGGATATATGAAATGTATTGATTGTTTCCTTTTTTTTTAAAAAGGGTACCCCTACCTTTGCAGTATACGGTGATTGAGATTTTCGCTTTTATTTTTTCAAAATTTATTCCAAGTAACAAATTTTATAGTTGTATTTTATTAATGTGTATTTTAATTTTTTTGCATTATTCATTATTTAATTAATAAATCCAATAATCGATCTTTTTTGAGAAAGAAGGAAGAATCCAATACCCAAATTTATAGAATAACTTACTCTTTAATCATTCAAATTACAAAAATAAACAGAACTTATTTTTAGAAAAAGTAAAAATGAACCGAAAAAATTCCCTATCTCCCTAACCGTAGCCGTCTGTCGGAAGATTCTTCCGTTTTCAATAGCTTTTCTCCTTTGATTCCTTCAAATATCAGCTCCTTTGATTCCTTCAAATCTCTTCTTCTTATCTTCAGGTATTTTTAAACTAACTTCAAATTCATCTTAATTTTCTTTGTTTTTATTTTATTCTTTTGGCTTGTTATTAACCTTTTGCCGATAAACTCTTACTGTTGCTCGAAACCCTAGCTTTTGTTTGGTTGTCGAGAAAATTTAAATTATTCGATGGTCTTGTGTGTTTTTTTTCCCTTTTCTTTTTATTTTGATATGAAAAATGGGATTCAATTTGGCCAAATTGTCGCACAGTTGGCTTTTAGTTTATTTCTTTTGGGTTCTATGGGATCTCATGCACTTGAAACAAATTAAGCTCGAAATTTTGATGCTTTTAGCTTTATCCCATTACCTAGCAACTAAATAGGGTTTATTTATTTATTTTTGAAATCTGTATAATTGTAAAGCTGTATTGCTTGCTGTTTTCGTGAATTTGAATACCAGAAGAGAAATTCTGAGATGGAATTTGATGGTCGTAGGGTTTATATGTATAAGGAACTGCAAATGGTATCAGGATATATAATCTGCGGTTAAGCATGTTGCATTGTTTGGCATGTCATTCTTAATTCCTTAAATATGAAGATTATTGTTTGATGAATTCAAATGCATTGTTCTGTTCTGTTGTTTGTTGGATACAAATTTATTGTTTTACATTTGTTTTGTTTTTTGAAGTGGAATTGAAAAAAAGAAAACGACGAACAAGAAAAGATAAATATCATTTTCTTTATATATTAAACCCATCAACTTTGATAGTTACATTGGGGGATATCAAGGGTGCTTTGTGTTCACTTAGTTGCATGTTTGGAGTTCTTTTTTTTCTAACGACTGTACTAGTCCTGATCCTAAGAGGAGACATGTTTAGGTCTTCAAATATGATTAATGGATTATGCCTTTGCTCTAGTAGCATGTGAAGTTGTTTTTACCATTCATCAATATAAAAACATTGTTTAATGTTTTGAGTGATGTGATCTTCAGCAAACCATGATCTATGCTATAATTGAAATGCAGTTTGGCCACAAAATTCATGATTTCTTCTTCCAATAAAAATCTATTTTATTTGTCGAGACTTGAGAGCCAAAGAGGGGAATGAATCCTTTTCACTATTTTCATGAAGAAGGGGTGTGCATAATCTTTCATGCTCGCTTTCTGTTTGTTTGTTATGAGTTTATATTTGCTCGTGTTCCTTTAGTAGTTGCCTTTCCCAGTTTTCTATTTGATTTTAAACTTATTTTCCTTGTGATAAATAGGTCTTCTTGATTGTATACAAATTTGAAGGGGATGAGCCATTAGTTTTCTTGTGATGCCATCAACATGCAGACAGAGTCACCTATGTCTTTAGCCTCTGGGGAGCAAAATAATCAAGAAAATATTCCTATCAAGGTTGGAGATCCCAATGTAGCACCGTCCACCTCAAATAATTCTGTGCTAGAACAACCTAGTAAGTAAATGCAATTGTATTCCTTATAATAATTTTCAACAATTTAGTCCATGCATCATCTCTGTCTATGAAAAATACTGATTTTGCATTTAATTTTTGTATGAATTTATGAATTGAATGCCTAATGCTAGCTAAAAAGCCAACTAGACAATGGGCTGCTTGGACACGTCAAGAGCAAGAGAGTTTCTTCACTGCATTACGACAATTTGGGAAGGCAAGCCAATCTTACTTGTATTTTGGTTTTTAATATTTTTTTGTTAATATTAATTCCTGACACTTGCATTACCTGCAGAATTTTGAGAAGATTACATGTCGTGTGCAAAGTAAAAACAAGGATCAGGTTGCTACTAGATTTTTTGTGATTGTTTCATTATCAATATAAGTCAAATTACAGCCTTTTGTCAATGTTTGATTTGTCTTCTTCGTTTTGAAAATTGTAGGTCCGACATTATTACTATCGTCTTGTTAGGCGTATGAACAAGCTTCTAGGTCCTGGACTATGTTTGGATGCCAAAAACTCTAAAGATACTAATGCAGCAATGCTACGCTGGTTAAGCTGGGAAAATCTTTTTATTAAAACTTATTTAAATAAATACTTCATATAATTTGTAGGATGCATTCTTAGAGCATTTCTAACTAGTATAAGTTTCAAGTCAATCACAATGCATTATTATATCGGTTAATAGAAAATAGAAAATTTATTGAGCCGAGGTGTCCCTTCAAATGACAAAAACATTTCCTTTATGTTCCCATTTTCAAGCATGAAAGAGATCTAAATTTTGTATGGTATCATGATACAATAACAGAGACTTGACCCATTATAACTTTTTGTTTCATTCAAAATTGGATGTATTCTTTTACAGGTGGTCTCTATTAGAAATTTATGTTCCCATTTTCAGCATGAAAGATCTAAATTTTGTATGGTATCATGATACAATAACAGAGACTTGACCCATTATAACTTTTTGTTTCATTCAAAATTGGATGTATTCTTTTACAGGTGGTCTCTATTAGAAAAGTATAGCTGCAAAGCCTCGAAACTTCATTTGAAACCTCGAAGATTTAAAGTTTTCATTGAAGCTCTGGTTAGTCAAATGAATCTTGTATATTGCGTGTTTGCTTCCCCCCTTAACATGATTCTTTATGCTTGTGCTGGACTGACTGATGGCGTGTCCCAATGAAGGAGCATCAACTCTTGAAAGACCGGAGGAAGAATGTAAGAGGCGTGTCCCAATGAAGGAGCATCAACTCTTGAAAGACCGGAGGAAGAATGTAAGAAAACGACCATCTCATGGAGAGAATATTTCGCCTACATCTCCCAACACTTTCACAAATCACAATAGGCTTCTGGACATGATGCTTGTACTGTCAAGCTGGTTCTTGTTGAGAGTCAAAATATTAAAAAATTAGGACCTGGAAAAGGTTCATTTAAGCGTAATAGCAACGTGGGTGCTAATCATAGCAATAGCAAAGGGGAGTCAAATACCATGAAGCCTGCAAGGCATCGATTGAAATCAGGTACTACCCTCCAAATAAGTTGTCGAACAAATATCTCCCAATTATTGCGGCTCAATAAGTTTTCCACTTTCTATTTACTTTTATGTATTGCACCTTTGATGTTATAGACATTTGTTATTTACTTTTCTTCTTTCCACTTTCATATTACTAATCATTGTTGCTGATGCCATGGCTAGCTTCATTTTACAGTTATTCTTGCTTAGTATTATTAGCACCTAAAGTTTTAAGGTTTAGTACTACAATGCTTAACAGTTGCCTCATCAGGTGCATATAAAAACTGGGAAAAGGCTGCAATTGCCGGTGTTTCTTTGGTTGCCGATGCTGCTGAGCATTTGGAGAGAACTACTAATGATAAAGAAGTTGAGCATGAACAAGAAACACCAGGTAACATTGAACTTAATCAATTTGTCAATTATTTCCTTGAATTGAAATTACCATAACATGATAAAATTTCGCAACTCTTTCTTTTCTCACTGCAGCTCTGGGGCATAAGATTCTTGACCCAGTTGGAAAAAATCAACTTCCTTTGCCTGCATTCTCTCAAAATCCTTTTGCTGAGAGCAACATACATGCTGCTCTGAAACTGAAGCTCCAACTCTTTCCAATTGATGACAATACTAGAAGAGCCTTGGAAATGGTGAGCGCCTAAAGGAAATTATTTTGATGATTTTGATATACAACTAAGTATTACCACTTTGGAAGTATCAAGGAAATAATTAGTCTTCATCTCTTGTCAGGATAAACACAATCCCTACTTGGAACTCACTCTTAGTATTCGAAAGAAGATATCATCAGTATTGGAGCATCTGAATCGAAAATGGGGCAACTCAAGTGTAGCCTCAGGAGATCTTATGCTTTTCCCTTATGATGTTCAAAGAGAAAACCTTAATGCGTACCAGAGATGGACTCCAGCAACCATTGTCAGTGCTGCAGATGTATATGCAATGATTGGGAGCCCCCAAATATTTCGCCTAAGGTAGTTCCTAAATCATTTGGCCTCATAGATATCAACAGTGATCTATCTAAGAAACTTGATGATACTTACAAGACTCAGCCAATATTACAGAAAGAAAATAATACTCTTGAACCTCCTCTCACTGATTTTCCCAACGTGATGGGCAAATACCTTACCAATGGTCTTAAAGATAATCATGGGGGTTCGTCTATTCCTACTAGAAATTCTTCATCAAATAGAACTGAGACTTGCAATATTGCTATTATGAGATGTTTGGAAGACGTAGTAAGTGTTCATCCCCAGAGATTTCAAATATGTTTGAGAGTTTCAGCTGGCAATTATGATTTAAAACTTTCCAACTTGTTCTTTCCCGAAGCCATGCTGTTTGTGCTTATCTAAATCTGTTAGCCTTAGTTTAGACTCATCAATCAATTTTATTAATTATTTTGAGCTTCAAAAAATATTCTGCTGCAAATGACTGACTAGTTATCTGCTAGATCATGAGATCATCTCTGCTGAATTCTGCTATCAGGAGGACAGAGTCCATATAAATCTCTTACCTATGACTTTGATAAATGATATAATCTGTTGCTCGAACTTCCCCATTCAAGCAACATTGCAGATTTCCTTTAATGCATAAGCAGTGACTACGTTTTACATCGAAGATCTATTAGTCATGCACAGTTTACATGTTGAACCCCTCCATATTTCTGACATTTTAGTTTCTTTTATTTTCTTAGGATGATCAGAGATTGAAAAATAATAGCACTGCATTATCTGCTGGAGAGTGGGCTGACAGTCTTACAAACATAAGTGTTGGAGATCTTCTTGCAGAAGTGCCTGATGACTTGGATGGTAACTGCGTTGATCATGATGCTACAGAAAGCTTGCATTGTCTTCAGCAGATTCCGTTCAGCTGTGATTCATTTGACACAGCTATTGCTGCTCATATATCTTCTATGCATCAGAACAAGATGGAAGTTCCATCGTTAGCATCCCATGCATCTTCTATCTGGGATTCTGAAGAAACATGTGATGCCTTCTCATTTCAAAAGAATCTTATTTCTCGTGCAGATGTTCCTAGATTCTCTGATGTTACTTCGCAAGCAGTCTGCAAACAGATTGCACAACCAAACTTAGCGGAATCGGGCACCCATACCATGTATGTCTTACTTCCTGTTCTGAAGTTTGATTGTCTAGGTGTCAGAATAGTCATCTGAAACCATTTCTTACTGCTCTCACAGGAGTCACCTGATCCAGAGGAGCCAATTGAAAATTCTGCTTGTGAAAACCTCCCAGATGAGTGTCCATCTGATCCACACATCATGGATACTACCGAAAACAATTTCAATGGGCTGACTGGCATTTATTGGGTATGTTACTTCTTCTGAGGCTTTCATTTGCATTAACCTGCTAAACAAGTGTTTCTGAAGTCATAGCTTCTTTATACAACTGACCATCTTTCTTGTTTCTCGGCATCGCAGCCTGACTCTCGAGGACAACTAGATCTCGATATACCATCTTGTAAGTACCATAGTGAAGATATAATTTTGGGTGATAGCCTTGGGGGTTTGAACCGTTTAATAGCCAGTAGTCTGGATGCTTTTCAAAATTGCTTATTTTTTGGTCTGGACAAGAAAGAATCAGCACCAACAGTAGAAGCTCAGGATAGCATATCATCAGTCGTCGGCAGTGAAAACTGAAATCTTAATCGAGTTCAGATTCCGGTGAAGGATACTGAGGGTAGAAGGTGTGTTCTTGGAAACTCTCGAGGGTTTGACTAACAAATTTGTTTGACCTGAAATCGTTAAAGAAAGGCTGGTGTGAGCCTTTTCAAATTGTACAAAGCACTTCACTTCCTACACTCGTTTATATCTTTCTTCTTTCAAATATTGAGCTTGATCCTTTTTATTAGTGGAAATGAGTTTAGTATGAATATCTATTGCTGTATTTGGTTAGTTAGCGCAAGTGATGTTTGTGTGCGTATGTGAGCGTGTTTATGTATGTGTGTAGACTGTAGAGTAGACACACATACTAGTTTATAAGTTTTGGTTGAGTTGGTGTCACGAGAGAATCGGACTAGAATGGCCACATGCTGGATGGTTGAATTTTTTACTGTCCTGATTCTGACATGAGAAATAGAACTTAATTCTCGACCAAAATGAAATCAAAATTAAATATTAGGTATGATAAAAAACGGAACAACAGTGAAAGTTGGGCACTAAATGTTGGTTTACCCCAAAAAAATTAATATGTAACAATTTAATCGGGATAAAAGAGTATTACGTATACAAGTGCCCGCATTTTCTCGCTTCGAAACGCGCCTTTTTCACATCTAACGCCGATTACAT